GAGCACAGACCGGAGCCGCCCCGCGCCGGGGACACCGGGGAGCCCCACGTACCTGGTTTGGAAGCGTCTGGATCCTCTGCGCATTCCATTTGAATGGCATGTTAGGATTGTAAGTAGCTTCTACCAAAACTCTGTCACCCACCTGAGGTGTCTTTCCTTTGACAGCACTGCAAACATTACAGAAAACATACGGTGTGAGCAATATTTAGCTAGTTTTACATTTGCATGTTACATTTTAAAAAAAGTAGACAAAGTTCATTTAAGAAAGCTTACAGGAGAGCATTTACCCCAAAGTCAGCAGAAGTACTATCTGCTTTGGTTTGGGATATGGACAAAACTTAATTCCCTGTCTTTGGCCTGAAAGCAAAAGTTCCTCGACGAGTATCAAGTTAAGACAGGCAGATAGCAAGTTTTATGTTTTTAATCACCCACAAAGTCTGCGATTTCCTATTATAAGGAGCTAATACCCTTTAAGCCTCCCAGCTTTGGGCTTTGTATAAAGAAAACTCAAAAATTCATGTGAAGGAACTCCGACCTAGCATCTATCAGACAATCTGACCATCTGACTTTCAGTGTTGACAGCAACAGCACACAGACTGCGAGCACTACCAGTGGAATCACAGAATGAGTCCAGTTATCTAAACTGCTGATTTAGTGAGGGTACCACAGAGTACATCTGCAGGCAAGTGTTTACAGCTTACCTAAGCTGAAAAAAGACATCTTCATCCACAAAGCCAAAGGTGTCATGCAGTTTAGTGACCACCCCAGTGAAGACTCGCTGCTTCTGCGGCTGGGTTTGCTGCTGGCTGGAGCGAGGCGCCGGGTACGAGACAGTGATCTGCGCCGCTGGCTGGGGCGTGGACAGACTGAGACTCGTAGGGAGTGCAACAGTTGGCTGCAAGCAAAGTAAAGCAAACCAAAGACCTTATCACCAGCTACACACCTCAAAGGAACAGGTCCTTTAGCTGTGGAGACAGGAGTTTAAAACAACTCTATTGTTCTGAAGAGATTTTCAGAAAGTGGAAGCTTTTGTTTGTTGTTTTTTGGTTTGCTTTTTTTGGCTGGGTTCTCGCTTTTTTAAGATCACTTTCTTCCTACTCTGAATGAAGACTGGTTTTGTTTATCCTTCTCTTTCAGAGGAGTCAGCTTCCCCAGAGTATACACATTGTCCAGAAAAAAACCCATGAAGTCTGCATTACTGTTTCCCCATGCCATGGGGCTGAAGAAGAGACAAACTCCTAACTTTTGCTAGGAGTACACACTTCAGGTTATTCTGCATTTATATCCCAACTATATCCCAGCAGTCAGTAAGCACTAACAGGAACCGTTCCCAACAGCTCACATGCTTCTCACAAAAGCAGAACACAGTAGGACAATGAAATCAACTGTTTTTACCTTTTTCTTTAGAGCCTGCTTAAAAGTTCAAGTGAGAAAGGAACTAGCAACTGACTGTGTTAAATGGCTGCATGATTTGAACCTGTCCAGCTCAGCAGGATTCTTTTAAACCTCTGACAAACTATTAATCCAGAAAGCTAAATTCCTTCTCAAAGAGGAGGAAGATTTTCCCCATTTGTTACTGCAAAACAATTGAACACTTGAAGTTCAAACAAGAAAAAATTAAAATGTAATTGACACACCCACTCCCTTCAAGATTAAGGAAAAGTGGTTGCTATTAATTCTTGAAATCAAGGCTATGGATATTTTAACATCTGGATAAAATAAACCTGTACCAATAAAATGTCCATCCGTATTAGTCCATCTGACAGATTAAAGTACCCAGGATGTCACAAATTTGCACTCTTGCATTATCTGTGTGTAGGGATGAAGACCAGACAATAAAACCAAACTAACCTGAGTTAAAAGGGTCTGCTGATGTTGCTGCAACTTAAAATAAATAAAGTTATAAATTAATTTTATATGATTAAGGAAAATGTACAATTTTACCTCCTTTACCAGTCAGAGTTTTAGCTTAAGCTGAGTCAGTTAATAGTCCTTCAGCATTTGGCATTTCAGCAGTTTGCACGGGCGTGAAACTGCTGGTGTGGTTAACTTTCAGACTCTATAATCCAGGTTTTTCAGTAAGCAGAAACATTAGGTTTTTTGGAACTGAAAGTTAATAGCAATACCGAAAAAAGTTTTGGCAGCTGAAGAAGCTTAGGCATGTAATTTTTGTGTCTTTTATTCTATTTCAAAATCCTGTCAAGTCTTGGACAACATCCTTCCAGCAGATAAAATATATGGCCCTGTTTAGAGCAAATTTAGCAGGGATCTTGTAGGCACAGAATAGCATGTATTTTTAGAATTCCTTGTTCCTGAAGGTAGGCAGGTTTCCACTCTGGATATGTCTTTCCAAGTTTATGAACTTCAAGCTCTCTTTCACCACAAAAAATATTACTTAGTTTCTTTAACAACTTCCCATATGAGGATGATTTCAGAGACAAATCCTACAAGACACACAACCAACATTATTTTTGAAGTCATTTGTGAGGTACACAGGAAGAATCAGACAAACCTGTTGCTGTACACTATAGAGAGTCTGCTGAGGTTGTGAATATTGCTGAAACAGACAAAAGCAAAATGTCTCATAAACAGGAGTATTATTAGCCCAATAAACCAAATACAAGTTATCTGCTTAGCAGGTTTTAGATAGAAACTATTAACATTTAAGAATTCCAATACAAAACATAATAATACCAACACATTATTTTCATAACAAATATATGAGCCTTTAGAGCAGACTGATGTTCTCTTTCCAGCTCATTTTAAGCCTGACACTTAGACAGTACCATGAGCCTATCATGCAAAATGTTACTGAGGATATATATACAGTGATGAAAGATCATTGAAACTTGAAATTCTCTGTTTAGATACATCAAAACTCTTTCTCCCAAGAGGCTTTCCATAGCTAAAAATTCCCATAGCCAAAATTCCCACCTTCGTGGATTAACAGAACTATTGATAGCTAAAATCTAAAACTTACAAAGCTCCCAGGTTTGCACTGCAGTGTTTGCCATTTCCTGTTCTGCTTTCCTGCAGTGTGTTTTAGCTTTACACACCCACTGGTTTATACTGTTAAAACTAAAAGAGCACATGCTGTTGACCAAGAGCCTTTACCTGCTGCAGGGCAGCTGCGGCCGCCTGCTGCTGCAGAGCGGCTGTCTGCGTCAGCTGGTAGTTGGTGGGTGTCTGTGTGGTCAGGCCTGCTGCTGCCAGGGCTGTCTGCTGGGTGTATATTGTGGGAGAGGCTCCAAGCAGCGACGGCTGCTGCACACCAAGGGCAGCTGGAAAGAGCACACAACACAGTAAGCACTCAGAGCAACTTCAGACAGCTGAGGTTTCCAATAATCACACGAGATGCAGTACGTGATGCTTTACTCCCTGAGTCAAGCTCATGATGGAGAAAAATCAAACTCTTAAATTTCCTCCTCGTAAGCTCTCATGATTTTATAGCTCTCGTAGCTGTCATCCCCCAACACACACAGAGTATTCTTTCTTCAACATGTTTCAGGATCTGGATACAACTGATGAAGATTGCTGCTCCATTCTGTAAATTAATACATTTGATTCTATCCAAGGGTAAGAGAAATATTTACTCTAACAGCAGCTATGAAACAGAGGCTTAAGGCACAGGTCCTGTGAAAGCACACAGAGCTTTGCCTCACTGTTGTGGTTTAGCCCCAGCCAGTAGCCAAGCACCACGCAGCCGCTCACACTCCACTCCTACCCCTTCCCTCAGCTCAGGGGAATGGGGAGGAGAAAACAGAATATGTAGGTTGAGATAAGAACAGCTTAATAATTGAGAACAGAATTAAATAAATGCTAAGGGATAATGAGAAAAAAGTGAAAGGAAAAAACCCCACCAAAACCAAACCAGTGATGCACAATACAATCATTCAGCACCTGCAGACCCTGTTCCTCCCCCTCCCCTTCCCGTTTATAGACTGCGCACGACGTTCTGTGCTGAGCAACATCCCTTCGGCTGGTTCAGCTCACCTGGCCCAGCTATGCTCCCTCACAGTTTCTCTTGTGTACCTTCTCACTGGCAGAGCATGAGACACAAGAAAGATGTCCTTGATTTAAGACAAACACAACTTAGCAGAAACCAAAACATCAGTGTGCTATCAACAGTATTCTCACTCTGAATCCAAACACCGCACTGTACCAGCTACTGAGAAAATTAACTCCATCCCAGACAAAACCAGCACAGTCACTCAGTGCTGCCTTTGTCCCCATGTCAGCTGGGTGCTGTAGGGGTGGGGGGTAGAGATGGTACAGCCTTGTAACAACAGGGAGTCTAATCAGACCCCAAGGATAAATCAAGCTCACTCCAGCACTTACTAGGAAGGATTTGTGCTGCCCAGACTCAAAATGCCTGGAAGGAAAGACTAGTTTATTTTATTGTCACATCTGCTTTCAATCTGCCAGAGAAGATAAGCAAATCACGAGGAGCAGCTACCCACATGCTACACTGCTTGCACACGTGATACTTTCCAACAAGGTATGCTGAAGTCTTACAGACAGAACTTTCATGGGACAAAGAGCCCTGCAAAAATGCTAATCTGAGTGGAAAACTGCAAACATATTTCCAAAACCTGTTCCCTGTTTGGCAGGACTTTTTTTTTAAAAGCTAGCAGCTGCTGCATGATCCAATAGCACTCCATCAACCTATCAGTCCAGTCTACATGTTTAAACAAAACCCAAGGGAAACAGACTGCCAGCAAACACAGGCCAGCCAGCCACCTTCAGAACTGGGGAACATTCAGGATGAACAGGCTTCCTTTCTCTTCCAAAGGCATTACAGAGGCACAAGGCAATGGCAGCAGATTCACAGTATCCCTGCAGAGTTTGTGCTCCACACGATTCTTGCTGACGCAACATGGCTTGTAATTGGTGCTCATCACCACAACAGGCACAGAAACTCAACAGACACACACCCAGCTCAGCAGACACTGGATAACGTCATCCTCCCCACCACACTGCTCTTCCCAGCAGAGAACAAGCTGACAGCACAGATCATCTTACCATTTTGGAATGAGACATGGAAGAAACATATAAGCAACAGTGAAAATAATTACCAACACTCTGATCTGTACATAAACTGTCATGTAAGTATTCCAGGAAGCAAGAGTGTTGTTAAGTGAAATCAAGCATTCTGCAGTATACAGCATCTCATGATTTTGTTTCCCCTGAAAAATTCCAACATTTGCATTTCTTTACAAGACAGTAAACAAAATCTGAGGCGTCTCTCATGACAGGCCATCCATCCTCTTGCCTCTTTCTTGATCATCAGCTTCAGTCTGAACGTACATTTCTGACCATCCAGAAGCACCTCATCTGGGACCTCACCAATGCCTCACATAACACATCTTAAACAGACCTTTAGGCATCATTTTAATGCTTTGCTGCTGCATCATGGGACAACATTCACTTTTCTTGGCCATATCACTTTGCTGGCTCACTCACTCTGCCAGCTATTGCCATTAAGTCCAGTGTTCTATTCTAATGGTATCCCAGTGCAGGGGGGTGAAGCTGGGAAGCATTATGAAAATCAAGTTTCACAAGTTCTCTCCTACTTTTTATACCAAAGGTCCCCATAAAAATGCTTGCTCACAAAACCAGATCTTGGGGTTATCTGGCTCTTCAGTTTCACTATGGCAATTCCCCTTCCAGCACAATCCATAATTATCTCAGGCAATTCTCAGCCCACCCTAAGACACTTATCCCATTTTGTCAACTAAGGAAAAACATGAAACAAATATTTTGCCATCTCTACTGTCATTTTTTGAGCATTTAATATTAATTGGGTATCTGTCATTTACAACACCACAGATTAACTTCCTAACACAGGGCAAAGACGAAAGAATGACAAGATCCCCTCAAAGGGTAACACCTGTAGTAACAAGTTTTTCAAAGCTGCAGCTTGTTCTCACCCATTTGCCCGGAAGTATTCCAGTTTAATCTGACTGCCTTTCATCTCTGTACTCCTCTTGGTCAAACAGGCTCCAATTCATTAAGCAACTGAGTTTGCGTTACTAGTTAAAAAGAAAATAAAGAAAAAGGACAAATCACACATTAAAAACAAGAGACAGAGAATGTATCACAGACTGAGTGTGGAATTGACATCTGACTGCCATATTATTATTATTACTGGCAACAAGCACCTGCAGTGACAAACAACAGCTCCTCTGGAGCTGCAGGTGCAGTAATGGAGCTGCCTTCCCTCAAACGCAGCCCCAACAACTGCGGCTCACACCAAACCCTGCGCGGCACGTCCACCTGCAAGGCCTGCAGAAACCGGGGGCCGAGGCTGCAGCTCCAGCATCATTTCAGGCAACAGACATTTCTGCTCTAACAAACACCCAAAGAGCGTTTAGTAGTCCCTCTTACTGCTTCTAAAATCCAGAGACCTTTTAAGACTAGGGAAATATCTTCAAATTATGTAGCTACATCTATCTTGTTGGCAGCTGATGTAGATTTACTAGAATTTCAGTCAAAGAGTACCTTACCCAGGGCTTTGGACACTTCTCATAGTTGCCAGAAATCATGAACTTGGGTACTAGGGATTTCAAGTTTCTTCAAGCTGATCACACTTGCAATACAGACACCATACAACCTACTCCAAAAATACTCCTTGAACAGGCACATGCTAGGAACAGGCTCAGGGTGTTGACTGTGGGACACGTGCATCAACTACTGTTCCTTAGTGCATTGAGACCCACTACGTGGTTGTTCTCTTCTTACTCTTTGCTTTAGTAACCTCATAGAGGCCACCAGCAATAACAGGACACTGAGCCACGTGCATTTCAGCTTTTATCCGCTCTTCACTCTAGTGAAATCAAGTCTTGATACGGCAAACACAACACCACCAACCAGTCAGAACACAGCACAGCTGGGGCTTCCCCTGAGCTACAGTTCTACAAAAACAGGCTCTGCTGTGCAACCAGAGATCCTAATCCCGAGAACAGCACATGCCAAGCACTGCCACACAAACCAAACACGTGTCAGAAAAGAAGACTGAGAGAACAGGAGGGGATTGCCTTTGCAGGCAGTCCAGGAGCTTGCACACCATTATGCAAGTTAAAAATATGAGTACCTGCAAAAAGCAATCTGTGCTGTCTAGGAATCTTGGAATTTTTTACACTTTAACTTTCTGTAGTAGCCATGATTTAATTTATTATTTACCTTGTGCTGTAACAATGCTTAACCAGCACGGCAGGGACTTGATTCTGGTTTTAGTCACGTGATGCACAAACCATGAGATGAGGAATAGAAAAACAATTTGCTGTGTTACTACTCTTCACACACCAACCTCTGCTGGCACCTGGAATTCCCCATCTAGTACCACAGGTACAGTGTCATTCATAAGCTATCCCAGAACCTTTCATTACACAGCATGTCACTCTACAACTACTTTAGAGTGTCACAGCTTAACTATTAAGAGCTTTAACTTCTTTAGTTACATCTTCACCAGGGATGGCAAAAACAGCATCCACATCAGCAATACAGAAAAAAAAACCAAAAAAACAAAACTCCAAACCTGAAATTAGCTTTCTGTGATTATCGAATAGGGTTTATAACACCATCACTCACCACTTTCGACAGCTTAGGAAGAAGCTATCTGTCATGTTACTTGTGTTATTCCCTCATACCCAAGCACCTTGGTGCTTTGGAGAAGGAAGCTGACACCTGGATAAAAACAGCTGGCATGCATAAATACATGCAACACCTTAGGCCAACCCTCTAAAAGAATTTGGTAAATATAGGATTTTAAAAATCCCTTTAGGAACACCAGGATTCACAAGGGTAAGCCAATATGAGCAACCTTAGTCACAGCTTCACCTTGACAGGTACATGACAGGTGACTACGTCGCTGCATTTCAACAGGAAACACTGTTCTCCAGCTTCCAGCAGCAGAAGTCTCCTGTGCTGTGGATTAGTAAATTTTTATGCATCAGAATCAGGACTGCAAATAAAAAAAGCAGGGGAATAAGTATGTACTAAAACAGGAGCTGGGCAGTAGAATCTCAGGGACTGGATTCAGCAGTGCAGACAGGAAAGAGGATGCAGACACACTGATCACATATAGCAGTAGAAACAGAAAAGGACTGCAGTAAAGGACACAAGACCTAAATGCCTTCAAGTGATACTGGAGAGGAGACGTTGCAGTGCAAAGAGGAGACTAGGAGCATGAAGGAATGTGGAACTAGCATAAGAAGGCGGCAAAAGTGCAACCAAATGTTAGCCTTTAATGTCTCTCATGTTTGAGTCAGGTGCTGCAGGATCAGATGAACAGCTAAAAACCCCTGGAGATACTGTCGTCAGTGAGCAGGTGAAAAACTGCTCACAGCACCTGACGTTGACCAGTCCTATCCCAACTACATTTGGCACCTTCCTTCAGCTTCAGGAGGCTCGGAAGCAGGTTGGCCAAGGGCAGCCACAGGCATCAGAAAACAAGACAGTGGTGTGTGCTGCGCTCACTCCTCCGGGGCCCTCTCCTGGTCCTACCTCAGCAAGGTCTAAGATGGCTGCCAGCTCCTCCCCCTCCCAGGTTTTGTGCAGCTTTCTCTCTGGAACAGGACATGGAGCTGACCCTCCATCTTCTACCACTATTCCTTATGCATCAGCTGTCCCATCAGCCAACACATCCAGAGGACTCCATCCCAGATGCTGCATCTTTTGGTAACTGCAAAGCATCACCCAGTCAGACGTGAGAACCAACAGCAAAGTTTGTCTCTCCCATGTTCCCAATGCTAACCCTTTCCAGCTCTTAAGGAATTTCTAGGAGAGTAGTGCTATTCGGATAAGGCAAGCACGAGCTATTCAGAGAACAGTGAGGAACTGCCCGTGGGCAGCTGATTAGGAACAGCAACAGTTCCACTAGGGAGAGTGGCAGAATGGGCATGGAGGAAAGGGCACACTGCAACACAGGGTGCTCACTCCCTGAGGACACACAGTGCGACTCCATCAGTGCCCAATGCAAACACTGGAGACAGAGGAGTCGCTTTGGGAATGAAAACCGAGTTAGGAGAAGGATATGTCCTTCCCACCCCAGACATGCACCTCCCAAGAATGCAAAGCATTCCCAGCCTTTGCTTGGCTCCCAGGCACAAAGCCACGGACACAGGAGGTACGACATCGAACTTCATCTCGAACCAGAGCAACTGCAAAAGCCACGCAACCCTTCAGCAAGGAAGCTCTCCAACAAGGATACTGCCCGCGCTCGCATCCCAAACCCTCAGTGTCACAGCTTTCCTGGAGCCTTCTCACATCACACAAAGGAACTACAGCATTTAATTAATAAACAATTTGTATTGAGAAGAGCAAAAGGTACTCCAAAACTGGAAATGGAAGTCCCGAAATTCACCATGCAGCAAGCTTCACGTTCTCGTCTCAAATGCTTTTGTGCTATAAACCAACATGAAACAGGAAAATAGAGCCAGCTAAGTTTTTAATACACTAGACTGTGATCAAATAAGGCTTCTTGGCTAAATCAAAGTGAACCCTCTGTCATTATTAAGGCAGTAACTCTGGTTATAGGGATCCTCAGGTTCTAATTTGGCATTAAAAAAACCCTATACCCCTTCCTCACACAAGTAACAAACTTTGAAGACCTTCCACCTATGGGAAGTATGTCCAATATATTAATACAGGCAAAATAATTTGTAAACATCGATTTAGGCTGCCCTGGAAATGAAACTGAGGCAGCACTTAAGAATCTGTAATGCCTTATTATTGCTCTAGAGCAATGCAATTTGATAAAAAGTAATTTATTTACACATCTTTGATATGAGCAACTTGATATGTTGTTTACTGACCAAGAGAACCAATACAAATTCACCTGGTGTTTTACTTATCACCCCTTAAAAAGCCAAACAACAAACAAACCCAACAGCTAGCATTAGGCAGTGACCTTTAAAGTTTCTGTCGTGTGAAAAACTCTCAACTTAAAACATTTAAATACAATTCAAATAAGTTAGCTAGCATGGTGCCACCTACAAGTGCATACCCAACCGTGGAATCTCCAAATATACTAGATGTCAGAGTTCAAACATCAGGTGATAGTCAACTGACCTGGCTGAGACACTGCAGTGGCTGTAAACTGAGTAGCCCAAGGGGGATTCTTCTGTCCTCCGAACTGAGCCATGGCGCAGGCGAGATCTGCCGGGTGTCTGGCTGTCTCCTAGCACTGCACTCTATCCGAAGAAAGAGCAGCTACAATCTTACGCTGCCGGGCTACGTGAATCCTGGGCCAGAAACAAACAAACAAAAAAGGTATTAAATATTAGCTCTGCACTCCTAAGCCTGGTGGGCAACACGTGCCACGTGTGGGACACGGAGTTGTAAAGCAAGTTATTTCATTTTCCTAAAGCACCTCTGCACCCTACCCTTCCTAACAGCGGCACTGTTTCAGGGCAGCAAAAACGTGTTTCACGGTTCAGCTAAGACCGAGGGAAGGGTAGGGAAGGGTAGGGAAGGGTGACTGCAGCACAAACCATTTATATTTACTACTGACAGCGTTTCCCGGGGCTGTGGCCGGGACCGCGCGGGCACCGCGGGCAGGGAGA